TTCCCCAGCCATCTGGAGATGAAGGAGAGAAGCAGGCCCTCCTGTCAGGACTAGACAATGGCTTGAAGAGGGTAAATCCCACTGGGTGTGTGTGTGCCAGTATGACGATACAGCACAATGCAACGATCCAGATCCGTAGCCATCTCTAGTCTGCTTTCACCTTTCCATCCTGCTCTGTTTTTGTTCTCTCTCTCCCCAGCTGGATTCCCCCATTCACCAGCGAGAATGCACTCCACTCCTTCTCCTCTTTGATCATTTCACTGATCTTGGCAGGAGCACAGACTTCCTTTCTCTGCCTCCTCCAGCAGCTGTCCACTCAGAGACAGCACTGCAGCAATCCTTGCCCAGCCTCTTCATCTGGAGATGAAGGAGAGAAGCAGGCACTCCTGTCAGGACTAGACAATGGCTTGAAGAGGGTGAATCCAACTGGGGTGTGTGTGTGCCAGTATGACGATTCAGCACAATGCAACAATCCAGATCTGTAGCCATCTCAAGTCTTCAGAAAAACATTCCCAGATCCTTCTGGAAAAATTACACTGTCATGCAGAAATCATTTCTACAGAGAACCAAAATGGAATCCATCTTTATATTGTTCACTACTACATATCCCATCTTCAGTACATGATTTAAACCACATAAACATCTCATGACAGCTTTCACCTTTCCATCCTGCTCTGTTTTTTTTTTCTTGTTGTTTTCTTTTTCTTTTAAAACTTTGCTAATCTAGAGCTGGGGCAGCTGGGTGGACAAAGTTGGAAAACAAAAGTGAGAGATAGGGGAAGAAATTTTAAGGCCACTCTGCTCCAACTCTGCTCTGCCCCAGTCAGAGCAAAGCTACCTTAAAAAACTGGAAAAAAAGGCTGATGTTAAAACTTCTTCCTGTCTCTCTGCTAATTTCTCACTCCCACCCTTTAAAAACAATTGTTCACCTAGCTGGCCTAGCGCTAAAACAGCAACTCTTTAAAAGAAATAAATAGATTGGGAAGGGAAGAGAGAAACAAGCAGTCCTAGGCACCAGATGGGGGGGAGGAGAGAATTTGAACACTGAACAAGCTGCAAACAAGACTGATTTCCTCTTCTCTGTGTGTGTGTGTTAGCACCTGTGTGGTTGGCTGAAGCAAAGTAACACACAGAAACCCAACATCAAAGCAGATCCATTCATATTTTTCCTGCCATGTAGTCGCCCTCTAAGACATGTCAGACTCCTTCCTCAAATAATTAAGGAAACGGTTTAGCTTATTTCTGAGTTGACTCAAATTACAATTTGGTCCATCTTTTGTCAACCTCCTTGCCCTGATGGAGTTTACTAAGCCTCACACCCTCTCTTTCCCCCTCCGTCCCTAGCTACCAATGATCTGTGGTGAACTATCTTTGAAAACAAGCATGCCAGCCAGTGATGGATGCAACATTCAAAAAAAGGAATTTCAGTGTTCTTTGATACGCCTCCCATTTCTCTCAGAGATTAGCCTTGTCCTTCCATTAGCATCCCATTAGCAGGACGATATTGTGAGCTTTGCTTAAGCATTTGACATTTTGGGCTGGACGGGTCTCGAAGCTTTAAGAGGACGATCCTCTGCAGGTTAGCACTAATCCCAGGTGAGGAAAGGGAGAAGAATGTTAACCAGGTGAGGCTATGAAAGAAGCTGGCTGTGTTTGCATAACCGTGATCTTGTTCTTTGCAAAAGCGAGATGTTAAAAGTATGACATTTGCCCACCTAATGCTTTCAAAATTAAAGGAGGAAAAGTGCACAGAGACAGAAACAGGCAGAAGGGATTTAAAAACGTCAGACTTCGCCGATCCATGGTAGGAGGGAATTCTATGTAGACAAGGGAGAAAAATGCCTTTTAAAATGGGGGACTAGAGGGGGAGAGATGTCGGTGCTCTGAACTGGTGACAATAACCAGAAAAGAACAATCAGATCAAATTAATAGAATACACTCGAAAAGATGCATTTAGTGACAAATTAAGAAGGCACATACACCAAAACAGAACTGCACATGGATATAAACGGGGCAGAAAAGAAACACAGAGATGTGTCAACAGAGAAATAAACTATGTGATATACATAACATCAGACTGGGGGAAATGTGAAATAAATTGCAGATGCATAAACAACAAGGCGTCCACGTAAGGCTGAAGAGATGACAACAGAAATTAAAGATAGCAGCCGTTCACACCAGAAGAGTTGAGTAAACGAAACAGACCAAAGGCTAAGGGGGAAAAAAACATTGTATCTTCCGAGTTTTTGGAAGGCAAAAACACAGCGAGATTTCGTCCCACTCCTCCTAGAAAGTACAAGGACACTTCCTGAAGAAAACGTTTATTTTTTTAAAAAGGGGAGGGAGGTATGTTGAGGGGGGCACAGCCGGACCAGTAGAGGATGGCTTTTTGATCCCTGGAGGGCCACTGCTGGGGCCACGGCTTGCCCACCCCTGGTTTAAGGGAACGGAACCCCATCTACCCCGAATATGACCCGGGTACATGTGTGACACCCACAAAAGGTCGCCCAGAGCACCTGGCCAGAAGGAGTAGCCACCCATGTACACCTTCCTCACCCGAAGCCATAATAATATAGCCAAACGGGCAAAGCCGGCCCTGTCGCTAGGTAGTTGGAAGCAGCCGCTTGAAGCAATAGATCCCAGGTAATAAAGCTTAAATAAATAAATATTAGTGGTCTAATAAAGCTAGTGGTCTAATAAAGCGGTGGAAGATAGGAGGGCCTGGTGTGCTCTGGTCCATGGGGTCACGAAGAGTCAGACACAACTAAACGACTGAACAAACAAAATAATAATATAGCCAAACGGGCAAAGCCGGCCCTGTCGCTAGGTAGTTGGAAGCAGCCGCTTGAAGCAATAGATCCCAGGTAATAAAGAAAAGCTTAAATAAATGAATATTAGTGGTCTAATAAAGCTATCACCTCTCCCTGCATTTTTAAATGGAATTTTCTTTGTTAGGAGAGTATCGTCAATCTGTCTCGTCACCAGTTCATTGTGTGGGTGTGTTTTGTGGCATCAAGTCAGAACCAACTTACAGCACCCCCAGTAGGGCTTTCAACGTGAGATATTTACGGGGTGGTTTTATCAGTTCCACTTCCCCAATCAGTTTCTGTGGAACAGACAGACGCCCACACGCACACATACACACAAATGGGGCTTTCAACGTAAGATATTTAAGGGGTGCGTTTTTTCAGTTCCACTTCCCCAATCAGTTTCTGTGGATGAGTGGGGATTCGAACCCTGTTCTCCAGAGTCCTGGGCCGTCCCTCTATCCACGACACCACACTCCCTATTAAAAATGCCAGTACAGTATTAAATGTGAATATAAATTTTCCTCAAGCCCACTGCTTTTTCTTCTTGTGCAGAATCCCTAAAATGCATGCTCCTTGGGGCACAGACCTATCTTCTTCTCTTATTTCTTAGAGGTAACTGTTGCAAATGGGCATTTCCTCCCTCAAGAACCTTATCCTTTCAGGCACGCAAACCTTTTAGTGCTCCCTGCCCAAGCCAACAGACATGCAAATGCCGCCATGCCCTCTCAGAACTGACAAACCCTGAGCAAGCTAATTCACTAATGCCATACGGAGACAAGGCTGTCTAAAAGTAAATGAAAGTTTTCCCTCTTAAGGGTGCACCGTGGCATGTTCCAGAATTGGCATCTCATCTAGGCTGAGGCCTTAATTAGCACCCAGAACAAGGTCACATAAATGAGACAAAAGTTTGCAGCAATTATCATGTGGGTTTGCCACTGATCCTATTTTTTTAGATCAGGAAAAGGCCACGCGAGTCATGGAAACAATGCAAATGCAAGAGCAAGTGATACCTTCAAGAACATGAAACAAATAGCGAGCTTTCAAGGATTAATCATCTCCTCCAAGGCTGTGTGTCAAGTTCTTGTGGGCAGTTCCAAACTTAGGTGCTGGTATTCATGTCCCGGATTCACCCGGCGGATGGTGAAGTTTTTAGAGATTTGCCATACATTCCAAATAGCTAGCTGAAAATTGCTTGCCACCACCATGCATGCTAAGGGCCGTGCTGGCGCTGCGGGCTAAACCACAGAAGCCTCTCGGCTGCAAGGTCGGAAGACCAGCAGTCGTAAGATTGAATCCACGCTACGGAGTCAGCTCCCGGCGCTTGTCCCAGCTCCTGCCATCCTAGCAGTTCAAAAGCATGCAAAATGCAAAAATGCAGGTAGATAAATAGGGACCACCTTGGTGGGAAGGTCACGGCGTTCCGTGTCTAGTCACGCTGGCCACGTGACCACGGAAACTGTCTACGGACAAACGCCAGCTCTACAGCTTGGAGATGGGGATGAGCACCGTGCCCTGGAATCGGACACGACTGGACTCAATGCCAAGGGGAACCTTTACCTTTACCTAACCATGCATGCTGGAGCAGCTTCCATCTCAGCAGCTGCCCCCAGCCTCCACGCCATCATCCGTGTGAACCTGGGACATTAAAAACAGCACCAAAGCTTGGAACGACTCATAAGAACTAGATGCACAGCCCTGAAGATGATTGATCATCGAAAGCTTGCTACAGTATTTGTTTGTCTTGCTTTATATTCTTGAATAGACTTGCTCCTGCGTTTGTTTGTTTTTTAAAAAAAGACTACAATTCCCAGGATCCCCAGGTGCATTCCTCTCCCTTTGTCCTCCGTTTCCTGGGGGGTAAACCCAGCGTGGCTCTGGGGCTCAAGAACCAGAGAGGGAAGAAATCTCCCTTCCGGGTGGGGTTTTCTTGCTGCCTCGTCGTGACTCAGCGAAAAGAGGAGGAAGCGACGATGCCGGGGAAAAGCCTGCGCGGAGGTGAGTCAGCAAAAGCTCGGGCTCTACCATTCGGACTGCGGGGGGGGTATGAGAACGGACCATTCCGGGAACTTCCCTTTTGCAAGCCCATCTTTGGGGACCGGAGTTTAGCCGCGTGGAAGTTTGCACCGCGTGTAAGGGCTGTGCGTGAAGAGGCGAGGGTTATTGGGGCGGGGGGGGAGAGGAGAGAACGGACCCCTGTGCCCCCCTCTTTGCACCCGTGGTGCGATCCGGTGCAAGGGTTGCTCCGCTGGCGGGATGCGGCGCTCCGGAGTTGCGCGGGGGCGGATTGGGGCGCTGCTGCTGCTGCTGCTACCGCGCGGCTGTCCCGGGAGGCAGGCGAGCGCCTGCGGGGCAGAGACCGCGGCCATGGAAGGCGAGGCCGGCCGGAGCATCCACTCGGGCGGCATCCCCACGACCCACCAGGTGCCCCTGCGCGTGATCCTCCGACCCCTCCCGCCCGTGCTGGACGAGAGCAAAGTGGAGAGCTTGATGCGCACCATCCAGGTAGGGCCCGCCGGGGGGTGCTCGGGTTCAGACGATGGGCGTTGTAGTCCTCAAATCGTTTATAACCACATAATACATCCGCGTTTAAAAAAAGGCGTAAGGATGCGTGCAAACCGCCGTGGCTGCCTGATTTGACTTATTAGTCGCCCCCCCCGTGCTTTCCTTTCGTGGAAGTAAAGCCCATTTGGCGCACTTCCTTCCTACTTCTTTCTTCACAACGTCCCGACTAGGTAGGTAGTCAGGCGCAGAGACTGACCGGGCTGAGGTCTCCCAGTAAGTAAATAGGGCACGGGGTGGTGGTGTAAGAACTTGGATCGCCCGAGGCGTAGGCTGTTGTGTCAACCTATGTGGAACCAACGAACTAACTAACTTACTAATTAACTAAATAAATAAGAAAACAGAAGTATTTTGACCCCTTTGAAACTAACAGATTCATTGCAGTGTGCTTTTTTTTAAAAATTACAAATTCGTGCGATTCTCGTCTCCCCGAGGCACAAGCGGGGGATTGAACTCTGGCTCCAAAACCTTGAGGCTTTATGTGGCTTACTAATCAAGATGGAGAAAAGGAGAGGCTAGGACAGCTCGGCCAAGTCATAGGAATGGTCCAAGGAATTGTTTCCAACCCTGAGATGTAGGAGAACCAGGTTTGCTCTGCCGGTGAATGGAGGTTATTTCCTTAATTATTTTGCACTTGGAAGCGGGGGGGGGGG